AAAACCCTAGGATCAATCGCTCGAGATCCGAGAGCTTGTACGGCTTGGTCATATAGCCCTTCATGCCCACTTTCGAGGCGCGGCTGAGTGCCTCGTCGGTGACATCAGCGCTGACGGCAAGGACCGTCGGCGCCACAGGCTGATGGGCTGCAGGCGTCGCTATGGGAGGCGGATGCTGCTGCTCAGGCCGACAATTAGGGGGGATTTGACCATGGTATTCATCTATTAGCTGAAGGATTTTGGACGTGGCTTCGTATCCGTCCATTTCTGGCATCCACAGGTCCATCAACACAACGTCCACCGGTTTCATCTTCTTGCGATGATTCGGAGGATTGGGGATCGGGAACCCGTCCGCCGTGCTCTCGAGCTTGGGAGAGGGGCCTTCTGCTGTGCTTTGGGCGACCAGAACCTCCTGCATGATGCGGACCGCTTCCTTTCCATTACAAGCTTCGTAGATGTCGCTATAGCCAAGGCGCTTCAGCATATGAACCAACACACGCCGATTGATCTTGTTGTCCTCGGCAACGAGGAAGGTGAGTGGATGCTTTTCACCAAGTTTACTGTCATGAGTGTCACCATTAATGTGGCGTGGCATTGACTTGCAGTGGGGAACCGAACGCGCAGGGGTCAACGTCACAGACGATTCCTCAGTCAAACTCGGTGACGGCTGCTGGATCGGCTGACTCGGTGTTCGCAGCGCGGGCGACAGCAACGACGATTCTACCGTCGAGGTGCTCGCACTGGTCATGCGCGAAGGATCGCAGAGCTGCGGCGGTGTCAACAGCTTGTTTGGAGGAGCCAATGTCGGATCGGGCTGGTTGGCCGGAATTCTGATCTCAAACTCGGAGCCATGGTCGGGACCGGTGGTGCAGGAGCGAACGCAGGTGAGGTCGCCGCCCATTTTCCTGGCCAGACCCTTGGCTACAAGGAGACCCAGTCCTAGCCCATCCTTACTCCGAGTGGTAGATGTGTCTTCCCGAGCAAACGGCTTGAAGAGTTTAGGCAAGAATGCTTCTGGGATTCCAGGTCCAGTGTCCCTCACAGCGATCAGGACATCGTTGGTCTTGCGGCCAACGGTGGCACACACGGTGATCACACCGCTATTGGTGAACTTGACCGCATTGAGGAAAACGCACGAAATCAACTTGGCCAGGTCGCGATCATCCACAAATAGTGTATCCGGTAGCGCGGGATCGACCGACCAATTGATGGTTTTGGAAAACACTTCACCGTTTGATGAGCGTGACCGGATCTCAATCTTCTCCCCCGTGTCGGTCGCATTGCTCACAGCAAAGTCAGGCCGACCACCAACATGCAAGGATTCATTGATCACTAGACGGAGCAGATCGCGAAGCTTGGTGAACCTCAGCGCGGGGACAACATTGACGTTAATGCCCTCCAACAAGAGATGCGGTGCCGAGCGGCGAACTGCCAGCGATGGTCGGGGATTGACCATGTTGGCCATTACTGCTTCTATCTGATGAGCAGGGGCGGCTTTCATCAACTTCTCGCTTTCATGGACGGCGTTTTTGACTTCCTCGCTACGGGGAGAAAGTCCCTTTGGCGACACGACGCGTGGAACCTTCTGTTTTGGCGTTGTGCCGACGTTCCATTCTGGCGGATTACTCCGTCGTCGTTTGTACGGATTAACCGTGATGTTGCTTCCTTCGACGAAGACACTTGGCCGGCTGTCGCATGTGCTCAATGGTGTTTGGACGGGCCCACCAAAACAATCGTCTCTTTCGAGTTGAGGAGTCTTGGGGACTTGCATGTTCAGGTCGTAGGCGTGGACCACGTTGTCTGCTGCTTCGACCGCTCGTCTCGCGCTATCTGTAAAGATGGAAAAATGCGAGTCAGCATTCGGAAAAGGGGATCTAAGAATGGACGAAACACGAACCTTGAACCATTTCGATACTCTCCTTGAGTGTTCGGAAAACGAACCCCGCTTTCGGAGATGGCTTGTCCTGGATAGCTTCGCGAACTGTGGCATGCATGACATCTAGCATCCCGACAACACCCTGCATCGGCGTGCGGAGTTCATGTGACAAGCTCCGGGCATAAGGCTTCAATGGGTGAGAGGCAAAGTCGGCTAATCCATGAGGGATGCTGATGTGTGCATCCTCGACAATCGCGTGGCTGGCAGACATACTTCTAGCCTTGCTGTTGCTCGCCTGCTGTGTGTTTGCCGCTTCAAGATCGTCACGGATGTGCTGGACAACCAGATCTTCCAAAGAATACAGTATCATTTCGAGAAACGACCACGAAAGGTTGCGCTTCTTCAATCCGGACTCCGACCACATCAGACCAAGGTATGCGAGACATTTGGTTTCCGAGAACAGGGGGACAGCCAGATAGCCTTCCGCAGCGAACGGCAGCTGATCTTGATCGAACGATATGTAGGAGCCCAAATTCTCCGGGATCAAACAGGGCTTTTCGTGATCCATATGGGACAGGGGATTCCCGCCAGCAAAGTATCTGTGGCGATGCATGCCTGCAGTTTCGTATCCATCATTGTAATAGAATGCCGAGCCGAATAAATATGGCTTGTGGCCTCGTATTTCGTTGACCGACTCGTCCTCCCGGGCCTTGCGAGCAACAAACACGTACTGAGCGTCACAGATCGAACTGATATTCTCCATGAGATGATGCCAAAACCTTTCCGATCCGAGGGTTCGAAGATCCTGCTTCAATTTCACCAGCCGGTCGATTGCCACGTTCTGAGGCGCTCCGATATATCTGCGACCGGACGAGTCGGCCTGCGCATCGTCCTCGCGCAAAGTAGATGCGGACGCATCGCCCGGAAGAACCTGAGATTTGCACGGAAGTAACGACATGGTTGGGCCGGATGCAAAGGATTTAGACCATTCTGACTCCGCGGAATCGGGCATGATGTGCCGAATGGTGGGTGCACTGCAGTTCCCTCGATTTGCTGTTAAAGACAAAATCTAAGGCGGAGATACAGGGCTGGATGATAATATGGGAGGTCGCCAGGTTACCGAGGGGGATTGATAAGATATCAATGAATCAAGACCCAGGTTGTTGGAAGGGGCACAGCGCATGGCTTTCGGTCTGTATGGTCAGTCAAACAGGAGCCTCGTTAGCTATATTCAATCCAGCAGGGTGTGTAGTAGGGATAGAAGGAGGCTACCAAGCACAATGCCCGTCCTAGATGGCTCTGGCTCTTCAATACATACATCACTTTGGGGTCGATAGAAAAGATGAAGCCCACGCTGAGCTACACCGCGGGGGATGCTCTGCAAAAGAGCAGGCACCGGCCTTGAAAATTATATTGTCCTCCGATAGGATCAAGATGAATGACTCGAAGGATATTAGGGTGCAAGCTGGTCAATAGAAGACCAAGAGGTTCTGTTGCTTTGGGGGGGAGAAATCTCCCTTTTTTCCGCTTTTTCTCTCCGCTGGGAAAGAATCTGTAGGTGATTCGCTGGATGCTTCGGATTCAGCTATAATGTTCGGACTTCCTTTTCCCGTTCCTGAAAACCACTGAAGATCGATCCGTCTTTTGATTTTCTATCGCGATGGTTGAGAAGCGTTCCCTCGACGACTGGCCGAGTCAAATTCTGGGGCAGAGATTAATGGCACAGACCAACCGGTGAACGGGCGGATGGTGATCGAGAGAGAGGGAAGGATGGGGGGAGAGAGGGGTGCCAGGATGCCAGATCGAAACGGCCAGTAGAAGAGGAGGGATAGGGGCGATGGAGATCGGGAGATGGAGACGGGATGGGGTGGGAGGGAGGAAGAGGAGGAAGGAAGAGTGACGGAATGCGAGATAGAGAATCCAGGCCGGGATGAGATGGAGCGACCAGGAATGGGACGATGAGGAGGGGAAAGAAGCGAGCCTGAGAAATCGATGGGGCCAACTTGGGCCGATCGCCAGGTCTAGACGCGGGGAGGCTGAAACGGAGCGAGATGCTGGCAAGTTTTGGACCACCCCTTCACCAGGCTCTCGCTGGCTTTCGAGACTCTAACTTGTCCCGGCTTTGCGAAAAAGGTTCTGGGGAATCCCAAGTCAAGGATGACTGAAGGATCACACAAAATGGGGGAAAAGGGGATTCAAGGTTGCGATCGACCGGGGGGGGAGGTCAGCACCGGTTTGGACCCCGTGGCTATCTCTGCATGCCTGCCTACTAAATTTACACTACTGCACACACTGGCTAAGGATAAATTATTCTCACTTTGGTCCGGGACAAATTTCCCAGTTTCAGCATTCGTGGGTTGCACATGGTACCTCGCCAGCAGTGGGAAAGGATCCATGGATGAAGATGCCTACGGAGGTAGAAGACCCTCCTTCGTCTGATGAGTGACGACCGTCAACATCGTCACCACGCCTTCTCACTGGCTCTTAACTATCACCGGGAGACCTCCCGACCCAGACTCTACCCAGACTCTTCCTCGTTTGCAACCCGATCGGTTCCTACGACTTCTGCATCATATCTTCATCCTGCAATCATCCTTACCAACTAACCTGTTACCTTCTCCCATCAGTTGGCTTCCCAGTCACCCTCTATCTTTCTCCCCAGATATGCACGGACGGCGAGGTCTCGACCGGGGTGGCAGATGCCATTATGCAACTGTGCCATCCGGGCATTCACATTGTACGTATGAGGTCTCCACTGTACCGGAAGGGTTACGAATCTACGGGCCGGGTAACCCACGGCATAAAACTTCCTTAAAGCGTACAGCAGCTATCCCCGTCACGCGGCCCTTAGTGGGAAACTAGAAAATGGAAAAGGGAAAATAGAACCAAAGAACTAGACCTCGAAGGTCTGATTTGAATCAAGGTATTGGTCCTGGGGGTGTGCTTTGCAGCATGCGAGGGTGTGAAGACTGATCTGCCGTCGGTATGTAGATGCCTACTACCTGCGTAATAAGCTAAAGAAACCCTTCTTACTGTTGTGATGAGAGCTACGTCGTATTACTCAAGCTCATTATAATTATTAATCAAACAACGGGCCAGACATCGAAGGTAGGAGCCGATGGGTGTAAAACACATGGTAGCTCGTACCCTTCACTCGGCCTATTTTGTATTAGGCGGCAAGTCTAGACCCCAAGCATGGCTATCCAGGGCTTGATCATAGTTCATAATACTCATTTTCTGTTTGGTCAATATCTATCGACAGCACGTATCTTTGAGTCGAGACATTTGGCGCCAGAGACTGCTATCAACAGCAAGATTCCATGTAGAGGGACGTAAATTAAACAGACGAACGACGTGACATTAGAAAACAATTATACTCCAGAGAATGCCATCTAATCTTGCCTTCCCTTAAGTAGGCGCTTGGTGACCTTGTCCTTTTCTATGATATACACCTGTGCACCCCAACCGGAAAGGGCGTCTCGATCGACGGCGCTGAGCAAGGCTTGCGAGATGGTCTCGAACAGGTCCTCGGGAGACTACATCATGGTGTTAGTACAGACTCGAACCTTCATTTCTCTTTTCACGAGGGGAGGAATCTTACCAAGTCCGGCTCCCACAGACCCTCGCAGGTACCAAAGAGCTGCTCACTGGCAGTTCCGCTAACAATGAAGTCCTTCGCAAAATCGATACACCCGATACTGTCAAATCCGCAGATGAAAGGCTTCCCCGTTGTGCTGTTGATTCCGGCAATGACGGGGCTGACGAAGAAAGGCCCGAACCGCTTCTCGTATAACGACGAACTGACCAGGTTGGCGAGAGTCTGGGGGGCAATGTTCCGTTCCTCGCGGAGGCGGTACATGTTGACCTTGTACCGGAAAAGGTCGGACACAGTCGACACGTCGGTAGCCAGACCAGTCAGACCGAGGAAGGTAGAGGGGCCGTAGTTGAAGATCTTGGGGAAGTTGTTGGAGACAGTCAGGGCCTGCATACCCAACCGGAGATCACAGGCGATTGCGACGCAGTCCTTGCCCACCATGGCGACGCAGGCACCGCCATCTGTTCATCCAAGAGTTAGTAGCTATGATGGTAAGCTGTGCGAAGCTAGTGCATACTGATATCGAAAGGGGAACTCTGTGGAGGAGGTCTGTCAGCCAGGTTCGTTCGAGGAAGAGGTGAGGGTCACGCAGCACACATACCATGGTTAACAAAGAATTGCGCAACTAGAAGCTCGGAATAAGATTGAGTATAAATTTCCGGGACAAGTTTCAAGAGATAAAGGGAGATGTGAGCGTGTAGAGGGAGGGTTGAGGCGATGGGAGATGGAAGATGGGCGGAGGATGGATGGATGGAGGAGTGATTGAAGCTCTGCCAGCAACGCGTGGAGCCGCCGAGCTTCTGCCGATGACGCTTGCGCCCGCTGCCTACAATCATTTCCCTCCGCCTTGAACAACCATTTCCCCTCACCCTCCCCATCCTCTTCTCACACTCTACTGGTCTAGACTTTTGTTAGTTGGTTTTGAATAGATAAGCTGATTACACAGTCGCTCACTGCTGCAAAAAAAGCCAGTCGACGGCCATTCTCTGTCCTATTCTCAACCTCATCTTCCCCGCCCCGCAACACCAATCCCTCTCAAATCATGAGCTCTCATGTCGTGGTTTTTGATTCAACAGCCCGACGAGCTACTATCAAGACGACACCGGGGAAGCATCTAACTGATGTTCTACAAGAAGCTTGTACAAAGCTAGGTGTGGATGCCAGCCAACATGGACTAAAGTAAGCATCAACTACACCCTTCTTCCGAAGCTCACAACACTGACGGCTTTTGTCAAGATACAAAGGTAAAGAGCTCGATCTTTCATTGGTATTTCGCCTCTCTGGGCTCACTTCCGGCGCAAAGCTGGAGTTGGTTCAGCTCTCCCGTTCGCCCTCCGTCGTCACCGTCGCTCTACAACTGCCTGAATCAGAAGCACGAGGGGCACCCCCAAACAGACGACTCTTGGATAAATTCACCAGCACGACAACAATATGGCTAGTATTGCGCAAATTTGAGGCTGGGGTTGCTGGGGGTGCTTCAACCCGGAATCTGACTGGACGAGGTGTCCCTAGTGGCAATGAAGGCGCAGGAAGACTCTACTACGAAACTCCGGTCGTTCAGATTATGGAACGGGAACTGTCCTCGTTCACTGATCTGCAGAAGTCTTTGGCACAGCTGGGATTCAATAACGGAAATGTGCTACTGCGGCTGAGTTTTCGCCGTACAGAGGAACCCTTGGAGGAGGCTATGGTCAAGATTCAGGACTACTTCAAACCGTTCGACGACGTGACCCCCAAGGCCGAAGAGCCGCCTGCACCTACAGAGCAACCACCACAGGCCGATACATCCAACAAAGAAGAGGAGGCACAGCAACAGCCCGCATCTACATCCGAGGCACCTTCGACCACTGAACAAACCCTACCAACTGCTCCTACATCTGATGCGCCTGCTGCAGAACCCACCGAGGTACCAACTGGGTTCTCCCGGCCCATAACGGTGTTTTCTCCCCCCTCCAACACCACACCCCAGTCCGCACAAACAAACTACAACGAGACCGACTACATCCCATCCATCGAACACGCACAGGCACATCAGCGACGACTGAACGCAACCTCCCGACCCCAACGGCTCCCATCGGAAGCCGAAATCGCCGCCAAAGCAGCCGCAGAAGAGGAACGGCTCGCCGCAGTCACACAAGTAGACGTCAAAGTGCGCCTACCAGACCAAAGCCAAGTCGTGGCCAAATTCGGACAGGAAGATACGGGCAAGTCACTCTACGACTTTGTTCGAAACTGTCTTGCCGCGCCACTTGGCAGTGAGAAATTCATCATCACCTCCTCCCTCCCCAAGACATCTAGCGGGGGACAGCCAGGGAGAAACATTCAAAACATTGTCCCCGACTCAGACCAACAGCTGCTGATCAAGGATCTAGCCATGATCGGCCGTGTGCTGGTCAACTTTACCTGGGATGCGAACGCATCCCCGGCCGCCCGGCAAAGCCGGGAACTCTTGAAACCGGAGCTGCGGACACGCGCGCAGGAACTCAAGGTCGAGCAGCCCAAGGACGTAACAGATAACTCAGAAGTTAGCAGGCCGAAGCCGACAAGCACCGGAGACGGGGCTCGTGGCGAGAAGCGGAAACCGGGCGGAATGCCTAAGTGGTTGAAGTTGCCGGGCAAGAAATGAATGATATAGTAGCAGATAGATAGCGAAATAGTCATGATTAATGTCAACAAGCAACCTACGCAACGTACAAATGAGAGTCATATGGCTGTCTAATACCAACTCATAGTTCCGTTCATTTCCCAACGAATAGTATATAAGTAGTAGTGAAGGTCCTTACGAAGTACATCTACGGTATAAGTACGAGCAAATAAACCTACCAAAAGCAAAACATCAACAAGCAAACCAATCCGAAACAAGAAAAATCCCAGTAGTGCAGTGGTATTGTATTAAACTCCGTTTTTCTAAACCCTTCTCATTTCATTCCCTTTTTGTTTTCCTGTCCATCAACCCCAGACTCCCCCCAAGTCCTCCAAGACAAACTTGTGAAAGAGGCCTGTGGGGGCTGAAGTACTGAGATCAAGTCAAGCGCCCCTACCAGCCAATCCCTCACACACCACGCATTGCGCCCTAGGGGCTAGGGGCTAATTTACAACTCGGAGGAAGAGAGAGAGAGGGATGTATTGAAACATGATTTTGCTTGTTTCTCACTTTCACTTTCATTTCATTTTTTGAGGTTGGGTGTGGGATGTTTTCGTTATCTCATTCTTGGCTAATAGGAGAGAGAGAAAACTGGAAACAGGAGATATTTGAGGAGAGAGAAATGGGAAGCTTAGTGAGCGCCAGTGCGGCGGGCCTCGGCGATGACACGCTGCATGTCCTCGACCTTTCTCTTGCCACGGCCGAAGGTACCGAGCTGTAGGAAATTGTATGTTAGCAGGTGGTTTTGGTATAGAAGAGTTGGAGAAAGTGGACAGGTTGGTGGTGGTGGTGGTTCAGATTGCTTGCTTGCTTGCTCGTTTTGCTCGATGGTTCCGTGGTTGGTGTGTTGCTTGCTTCGTCGGTTTGGCTTGTTGTTTCCGGCTGGCATTCATGGTTGGTTGGTGATGGATGGATTGTCGACGGCGGTTTCTTCTCCAAAGTAATATCCGGTAATAATGATGGGTCCGTACATGCCGATCAAGCGTAATCGTGGAGACGTCGAAAAACACGATGCACATAGACAACGGACCGAAACCGAAGAGACAACCGAGCGAGCAAGTGGACAAGCAAACAATCGAACCTCCCAACCATACCTTCCCTCCATGTAACAAAGGCAGGGCATTGGCAAACGTACTCTCTTCTTGGCGAGCTTACGAGCGCGCTTGTCCTGAGTGTTTCTCAGGAGTTCGATGATACGACGCTCATAGGGGGCAAGACCGACAACCTCGCGGGCGATCTCACGAACGAAGGCCGTGCGGCGGGAAGACTGGCCCTTGGTACGGCTGATCCGGGTCTTGGGGGTGTTGAGGGGGGTGGTTTTCTGCAAGATATCAAAGACATGTTAGTCCGATTGTCCTTGATCTTCCTTGTGTTTTTCAACGGCAAAATTCTCCATAATTGGAAATATCAAAGCAGCAGTATTCCGATATGATCCAGCCGAGTCGGACGATTTCAATTCCCAGTTCTCAATCTTTTCCATGTCGAATGTAAAGGTCAAAAAATGTTGGGCCGTTGTAAAGGAATCCTTCCGCCGCATCGCAGATAAAAAAGACCCTTCTCCGGACATATAATTCTTAGATTCCTCCCAAATTTCTCCGCCTTTTCCTTTTCCATTCCCATCCAAATTGTACCTTTCCGCAAACCGTTCACACGCTTGAAATCTCGTCGACTCGACCGGACCAAATCTTTCCACGCGCAAAGACAAAAACGGGACACTCAAAAAACAAGCTTCAGGACAGGGGACAACGTACGTGGCCCTTGTTCAGACCGACCACGATTCCGGAACGTTCTTGCGCCATCACGACGGTTGGGACGACTGCGGGTTGGCGACGACGGAGGTTGCTGCTGGGAGTTGTCGAAGTCGAGGGGCGTCGGTGCGGATGGAATCGCGATAGACTTTGCTGGGTTTTGGTTGGCCGTTGCGGCAGTGCGTAGCGAGCACTAGGGCTTAGGGTTGGCTTGCCCGTCTTTGTCATGTGTTAATGCCTGAGGTGTCTATAATCTGTTACTACTTTGGGTTTAGTTTAGTTTAGTTTATGGAATATATGGGGATTTTGGATCAAATGCGGAGTTTCCATCTATGAGATCCTGCTCAATTTCACCATCTCCGTCGTTCTCATACGCAACTCACTCTACATAGAATATGCTGAACTGTTACTCGTACTCTTTCAGAGCAGGCCCCGACTCAATCTCCACCTGCACTGTCTTTAGGATTCCATCCCTCGGCAGTTGTTGTTTACATCCCTCCTCCTCCACCCGGAGCCCATCGATAGTAGAGTGGAACCCCTTCTCCTCATCTCCCTCCGCCGTGCCTGTTGTAGTCATGAAGAACGTTCCGTGAAATGGTCCGATCTCCCCCATCTCCCAGTCCGATCCGGTCCGCACCAGTTCGGATCTGCTTGGATCGGAACTTGGATGCCAGGAAAGATGCGAAACAGACTGTCGAGCCCCAGGTCCGTTGCCTGTGCTGGGTAGTTTTCTCTTGAATATAGTCAGACTTGCGGTGCTTATGCTCCCGACGAGTGTCTTGGCTTTTTGGGAGGTGTGTCTGTAGAAGCTCGGCAGGGCTGGTAAGCTACTGGCGATAATTCCAGAGGTTATTTCCGCCGTTCTAGCAGGACATGGTTAGTTATATAAATCAGTCCCTATAGAAGGACACTTTGGATAGGATGGAAGGAAAGGTATCATATCCTACGTCCATAAAAGCTCAGGAAACGCATCGTAAGTATTATCCGTCGTGTTGCGGTTTTTGACGCTCCAACGCAGACGCATCACGCTGGCGAGACAGCCGCTATGTTGTCCGTTGCAATTAGCGCTGTTTACTTGTCGTCGAAGAACATGATGAAACAATTCAGACTGGAAAACTCACAAAAGACCAGCTGCAAATATAGCTGTAATGCCTACTTTCTTCCGTAAAGTGATTTGCAACCGCCAGACACATCTGATGGGCATCAGCAGCATCATGATATCAGAGACGACGTTCACGATGGACGTCACAAGGACAGGTATGGCAGCGTCAATGCAACGACCCGGGACAGTCTTATCCCAGATCCTTGCTCTTGGTGTGCATTCGAAGATCTTCACGATAGTATCCGCCAAGTA